GTTTAAATCCAGTAAATCCAGTGGAAAGAAAAGAAAGTTTCCTCCAAGTAGTAAGATTTTGGGACTCATTCTGATTGGAACGATGTGTTGTCATGCCAGTCCTGGAACCAGTGGCTGGGACCAGGGATTATGGCATGCTGGTTACCTAACCCTGAAACCAGCCCTGAAGCCTCACCTAAAGCACAGGAGGGGAATCCCCAAAAGGAAATCTGGGTACTGTTACCCCAAAGAAGGGGAAAGAAAGCTGGGCATCAAAAATAATAAATGCCCACCCTAGGCCACAAACTCTAATGCCTTCAGGGTTCTGTCAACATAAATTTGTGAGATGACCCAACAAAAGATGCAGAGAGTGATGGTTACTGTGATCTAACAGCTGTGCAGAACTTTTTAAAAATGTCATTAGGCAAACAAAATCTATGTGTAGGCCTAATTTTTCTTGCATGCCACCAGTATGCAACTATAGGTCTGTATATTAATTCTAAAAGTTGGAAAAATGTGAATATCATTTATATTATTATAACTATGTAAACAGCTTTTTAAAAAGGCAGAGCAAATTAACGTTCTGAAGTTCACTAGGATCTCTGTCACATGGCACTTCAGGAGCATGTTCTTGGTATCAAGTTGCAAAGATTCTCCCTCCTCATACTCTCTCCATTGCACAGAATCGAGCTGCCTCGTGCTTTGCTCCACGCTTGCAGCAGACTGCATGGTGCTGTCTGGTGCTACCCGCCCACCCTTCCCTCTCCTTTGCTTGGGTCTTTTCTTTTGTTTGACTTGGTTGTCATCATTTATAGTTCAGTTCTTCTCAAATGTCTTGTGATGTCTATGATCTATTTGTGTTTTTACATAAGGGAGAAGTTTGAAGATGGACTGGGAGCTCTGTGAATGTTGGGATTTGCCAACTAATGGGTTCACTGTAAGGTAGTAGGCAGAGAGCTACCTTAATACCAGAAAGAGACCCTAAATACAAGAACAAGAGCGTCTTTATTTCTGGATCTTGACATCTGTGCTAGCTACCCTTACTGGCTTATTAGACAGTTCACTAGTTTTAGATAAAACCAATGCCCCACCTTAATATTTATTTATGTATGTGCATATGTTGTATGTGAAGGGTATAGAAAACTTTTGACTTCCATAATCAAAACTTCAATTAATTGATTGTTTTCAGACTTACTGTTAAGTGCCATTGCTGCTAAGTCAAGAGCTTCTATAGGATTCTGCTCAGCATGCTGGCTCTCTGACTTTTTTTCATTAACTAGTAATATTTCATCTGCTTTTGTTTTATAGGAACTTGTTCAGTTTTCTCATATGTTAATGACTCCGTTCCTAGTCTCTTTAGTGTTGTGAATGAGATAGGGGGTGCTCAGTTCCCCTGGGCTCAGTTTACAGGACATGTCTCTGGGTTTCAAACCATTCCCCAAGGTCTCAGACCCCTCCACTAGGCCCTCCCCTAGAGAAAAATTGCTGTTGCTAGTTAGACCTGTTTTCAGCACCAACATGGGAAAATGAGATTGACTCCGTTCCTAGTCTCTTTAGTGTTGTGAATGAGATAGGGGGTGCTCAGTTCCCCTGGGTTCAGTTTACAGGACATGCCTCTGGGTTTCAAACCATTCCCCAAGGTCTCAGACCCCTCCACTAGGCCCTCCCCTAGAGAAAAATTGCTGTTGCTGGTTAGACCTGTTTTCAGCACCAACATGGGAAAATGAGATCACAAGGGGCTGGCTTATGCAAATCCAGTGTCTGGGCATGCTCAGTAGAGAAGGGTTATATAACCCTGGTAGCTGAATGACCTTCCACTTGGGGTGCTAAAGAGCACAGAATATTCTTGAATGTGTGTGGTGCATGTGATAGGATTTGACCAATGAACATGCTCCAAGAAGAGACCAACTGAGCATGTGCAAGACTATGCTACATAACTGGGAACTGCCCCCTTAGTTGAATATTCATTCGATAGCAAAACTATAAAATCCCAGGAGAAGGCAGGCTGCTGTTCACTTTCCTAGAGCCAGCCTGAACTTGGCCTGTGGAGTGTGTATTTCTTTATTTTTGTATGAAGTTTATTGTCAGCAAGCAGCTAGCTGCTCACTCTCTTGAGCCAGCCTGCACTCTGTACTGAACTTTAAGTGTGCATTTCTTAATTTTGTGGTAAACTTGGAATGGGCCCTGCTCAGTCTCTGGAGCTAGGCTGCACTCTCTCTGTGGAGTCTGTATCTCTTACTCATTATATTAAACCTGTTCTCACTTTCTACTGTGACTCTGCTCTTGAATTCTTTCCTGTGGCAGATCCAGAACCTGGTAAGAGGATGTGGTGGGTTGAGGCCAATTTATTGGGCCCTCCACACCCTTCTTTCAACATCAAATGTAAGCCTTTAAAAGAATTCCACAACTGTTATCTTAATCGTTTCTTAGAAAGGGGAGGTTTTAAATACACATGCATAATTAGTGTACCATATTAAACCTGAAGTCTCTATATCCTTTTTAATAGTTGCATAAAATTTAATTGTACAGATAATTTCTTGTATACTAACTTGTTTTCTACTGATTTATAATTATTTTGTGATTATAAACACTGGTGCTATGAACATTCATGGACATACTTCTGTGCACATGTATGTCTTAGAGGCTGAGTGTTGGATTGCAGTTACTGGAAAGTTCCTCTTGGAGTGTGTATAAGTATGTGTGCATGTGTGTGTAACTGGAAAGTGGTATTGCATGCTGATTAAAGACCTGAGCTCTGGAGCTAGCCTGCCTGGGCTCATAATCTTGGCTCTCTTCCTTAGCAGCATGGTGACCTTGGGCAAGTTACTTAAATTTCTGTATCTCATTTTTCTAATGAGTAAAAATCAGAATAATAATATCACCTTTCTCCTAGGTTGTGAGGATTAAATGAATTAATTTGCTGAGATTCATGTCTGATACCAAACCCTCACTAACCATTATCTGTTATTGTTATTGCTCTAGATCAGACTCAGCAACCACTGCAGTAAGAAAGGCCACTGTTCTCAGTGGGCTGGTGCTGAGACTCTGGTTTGTTCAGACATGCTCCTCACATGCCTCCTGAGGAAGGTAAGGTGGTCCCCACAGTAGGGCTGCAAGCTGAGGGCCAAGGTGAGAGAGACGGCAAACCTGGGGGTGGGGCTCTGAGCCGTCCTACCCGGTGGTCTACCCATGCAGTCCCTTGAAAGCTGCATTGTTTAGGGCTGTCTCTCCAGTTGCAGACAGTGCTTGACACAGAGTTGAATGAAGAAGTGAATGAGTGAATAAAACCAGGTTTAAGAGTTGTTTTTTCTTCTCTTTAATTCCATCCTGTTATCTCCAAGCCTTCAATAAATTCTTGTTAACCACGACAGCCTAGCTTTACTGTAAGCGTGCTTAGAAGCGAGGGGACTGGAGATGGCAGCGGCACTGAGTGGACTGTAGCAATGAGGGCAGACAGGAGGCAGAATGCAGTTCCTTGGGATCCTCAGGAATACTTGGTGAGGGAGCCTGGTGGAAGTGTGGACTTCTTGCTACCTTGTGCAAGGGAGCTCTGGACTGCTTGTTCTTGAGTATTGAAAGGAGAATGAGCTGTCGGGATCCTCAGGAATACTTGGTGAGGGAGCCTGGTGGAAGTGTGGACTTCTTGCTACCTTGTGTAAGGGAGCTCTGGACTGCTTGTTCTTGAGTATTGAAAGGAGAATGAGCTGTCGACCCTGGGAAGTCTGGCATAGCTTGGTTAGCACATGATAACCTCTAGATAGATGACAGCTTTTTATCTTCTATTTCTAACTTTTGGTAAAAACTAAAAGTCCACATTTGATGCTGTATTTGCTCTTTCTTAAGCCATACTTGCCTTCATGTCTTGTAGATATGACTTCCCATTTGAGACAATATTTACAGCAATGGCGGTGACATTGATAACATGACTGCTAGATGGAATGAGACTCGGAGACCATAAAGGATAGCAGGGATCTTGGGCTTCCAGCCAGCCCTTCTAAGTGGCATAATTTTTGCCTTAGTCACTTGAAATTTCAAAGAATTGGCTTCTGCCTCTGTAAAATGGGGATTAGTGCTATAATAACTAGCACATGTATGGGCTTAAACACACATCTTGACATTAAATTAAAGGAGAGAGCAAACAAATGAGAGTGGGCGATATGCCCTGAAATCTTGACCCCAAAGTCACCGTTAATGGTAAAACCATTACAGTATTATTTTTCTATAACATTCCTAGCAGATGCTTGGCTAAGAATATGCTTGAGTAGTCTTAGAATATGGTTATAACTTACTATTTTTTCACTGTTCACATATTAATGTGTTGAGAAATAGAAGATCTATGTTCAAAGGGGGGTTACTTTCTAAAATTAGGTAATATTTACAGTAGATAGAACACTCCTTTACTAAATATGCTTAATTCCTTCATAATTCCCACATAATAACATAATGCATAATGTTAATTGTTAATGTGGGGCTCTTCTTTTTTTTTTTTTTTTTTTTTTTTTTTTTAGTGCTGTTGAAACTAATGAAGAACTTAGCCTGGGTAATAAACAAACAAATGAACAAAGATTCATTTACAGCTACCAGAAGGGGCAATATGGATCCTGAAGTCTGGAAACTTGTTTGGGGGAAGACGCAAGAAAGATCCAGAAAAGTCCTTGTGACATCAAACCCAAATGTGGATGTCTCCAGATGAAAGATTTAAGTCTACCTCTTATTTTAATTATGAAACAGTTGCTAGGGTCATGGCCTCTCTTTGGGGTCTTCATTTGCGATAGCCAACTGGGTCATTTTTGTTTTGTTTGGGGGAATAAATATTTGAAGGGAGTAACTGAAGGAGGTTTTGCTGCTGTTATGATGTTATTGATACACAGGCTGACACTATTATGGTGGATGCTATCAGGCTACATTATCTTTATGCCTCCAAGGTAACCTGAAGCAACTGTCTATTGACTTGGCACTACTTTATACTGAAGCGTCTGCCCTGCCTGGGGACTGTAACCTGAGCCAACCACATGTCTCACAGACAGCTTTCTGTAGCCACTGACAGCATCAAGGAAGGAAGAGTGCGAAATGGCCTGAGATGGAGTCTTCCGAAGCGGTGCCAGTTGCTGAGTGACTCTCAGGAAGGGTGGCTGTGCCATTCCCCTCAACTTCTATTTAGGGACAACCACTAGCAAGTCCTTCTTTTCAGTCAAAGAAATAGTTACTATAAAGAAAGAGGAGGTGATCTGGACTCCTGGAAATTCCTTCCCGCCTTTGAACTTTGCCATGTTTCATTGCAGGTCATGTCCACGTGGAAAGCGAGGCTCACCCAGAGACTGAAGCCTCCTTCTGGAAGGATGCACCCATTCCCATGCTCAGCTCTGCTCACTTGCTTTGGGAACACCCGAGAAAATGCTCCCTTCGACCAGGACAGCGCAGCCGATCCTCATCCCACCGTCTGCGCTCAGCCCATGGGCACAGCAGGCAGACAGGGCAGACACTCAAGTCACCTGAGAGCGCAAGAAGGAGCTCCAGAGAAAAGGCGAGATGCAGGCACCTCTGCAGAGAGAAATGGCAGTGCAAACCGGGTTCCAAGTCACCGCACTGCCATCCAGCCTGCCGAGACACCCAAGGCTGTGCCTGCGTCTCTGGATGATAAACCAGCCCGTGAAGCAGTCACTTTTCAGACTTCTATCCCTAGACCGTCAATTATTGACATGCCACAGGTGAGTATTCCCAGCACAGTTACAGAAGGGCCAGTGTCAGGGGAGAGCTCTGAGCTTTGGTGAGTGCTTCAGCCAACAAGCTTGATTCACCTCATCACTGAGCAAGATGTGGAGGGGACTGTCACCAGGAGGGGCAGTGTGAAAGGCCTTTAAATTCTCAAAAAGTTCTCAAAGGATGTGTTCTCAATGACAGTAGCAGTGGAGCCTCAGCAACCACCAAAACTGACCTTTACTTAACTGGCTCTGATGCCTCAGAGCCAACCAAATCTCAGTGAAAGATCAGGAGTAATATAGTCTGGGTCTCAGAAAGTGTTGTTTTCCTTTTTTTATAACAGGTCTTTGAATTTATTTATATGAAAATCCCCAATGTAAAAAGTTTGATTATAGAACTTAAGAAATCACCTGTACATCATACACTATCAAAGCAGTCTGGGAAAATTTGGAAGTGATAATCACTGCATGCATAGCAGCACAGAAAGAAACTGACCTGTGGAACTATTCATGATATAGATATTTCTGTGATACTTTTCCGAGATTTAAAGGCAGGAGGGGGAAATTATTTGAAAAAAAAAATGGTGCTGCTGGTCTTAAGAAGCAGCATCTCAAGGTAATTATTTATCTATTTTCTTTTTTTTCCTGGCATCACGGAATTGTAATTGTTGAATATTTTAATTGGGTTGAACTGTACAATTACTTCAAAGTTTTTGCTAATCTCAATTTGGAGAGGCAGTCTAGAGACAGGGTTTCCTAAAGGGCAGTCTCCAAAGATGTCCCTTGAGTGTTTTTTTTTTTGGTTGTATTCCTGGCCAAGTAGCTTTGAGACTTTAAACCAACAGACTTTAAAAACTGAGAAGTCTGGGGGTACATTACGAAGATATTCTGATTTTTAAAAATCATTTTTTCCATCTAATTTAACAAATCGTTTCTGACTTGCTGATGTAAATCTAAGTAGCCCCATTAGCAATAAGAACTGCCAAGCAGCAAAGACAGGGTTAAAACATAATTAAGAAAACAATTTCATTGGACATTCTGCAGGTTTGTATCAAATGATGGATTAAATCAGCCCTGATGTCTGCGTCCCTCTGTTCTGCAATTGGACAGAGGGACCCTCTGCTATAGATAACCATAATTTTTTCTGTAGCATCACTAAATCAAAACACAAAACCAACAAGTAAAACCCAAAATGTTTGTTCAATTTTCAGTGTATAGCTACATCCAGATTAAGATAGTAGTATTAACCGGTAGCTGATTAGAATTCATGGCCAAGTATATATTTGTTGGATGCTCAGAGATTTAATGATGTACCGTATTAGTGAGCTGGAAAACTTTCCATTGGGTAGAGACTCCAGCAACTCAGGACCCATCCTGTACCGCTGAGTACAGCAGCAAGGACAGAGGGTCGATTTGATTTTATCTTTCTGTTCTATTGGCATATGTGACACAGGGGCTAGAGGTAAACATGTGTGTTCAAGTAGAACCAATAAAACACAGTGGGAGTAACATCCGTATTTACTGTTCACTTGGCATGAGCCAAACCATGGATAGACCACGGGGGTCAGGCCTATGATGCAACCAGCCCAAGTGCAAGGCTGAATAGGTGTGTCACAGAGAGGAGTGCACGAGAGGGTTCAAGGGAGGGCTTAAGGGTCAGGAAAGTACTCTGGAGTGGAATTTGAGATTGGTCTTGAAAGAGGCTTAGGATTTCTAAAGGCAGGGATGAAGGAAGGACATTGCAATAAATGGAAGTTGTAAGACTGAAACCATGGATGGTGGGGAATGAATATAGCATAGGACGAGGTATACCTGATGGCCAAAGATGAGGCTACAAGTTGGAGAGATACTGGCAAGGGAGATTGGGTACGGGGGCGACACTGAGGGTTGCGATCCATTGCCGGACACGGAAAAAGACAAAAGACAAAAAAAAAAAAAAATACAGAAGGCTTATGGGTCAGCACTGGATGGAAGGGGCTTCCTGCTCAGACTTGGGAAGACAGAGGAGGCCAGAATATAAGGAGGAAAAGGATTTCCACCTTATTCATTTATAATCACACATCAGACTCAAAACCGCACCCTTCCTAATTGAACGGTGCTGATTTACTCCTCTCTCTCTTAACGATGTAGGCAGTGCGAGAAAGATGCAATTTACACACAAAGCAACTAAAGGGCTTCAGAGTAGCTTGGTAGTTTGAGAAAGTCTTTCTACAGAAGTTGTAAATCTTTATCTAGTTCTTCCTCTAACCAAGAGCAGCTAGCCTGATACAGGAAGAGATAGTAATTGTGGTTTGGGAAATCATTCCTGGGTATTTTAACAAAAAGTGTATTATACAAAAATGAAGGGAAACACGGCCCATCTTGGAGTTCACAACTGCACTACTCTTTGGAACAGCCTCGTTTTGCAACTAGACAGAGAAATGGTAACCAAGCCATACAGGCACCCAGATAGTGGCCTGGACGAAGATTCATGGCTCAGGTGGTCACAGTTGTGGCTGTCCAGAAATTTGTCAGAAAGTGTGGACTCAGAGGAAGGGGAGCTATACGGCCCATCTTGGAGTTCACAACTGCACTACTCTTTGGAACAGCCTCGTTTTGCAACTAGAAAGAGAAATGGTAACCAAGCCATACAGGCACCCAGATAGTGGCCTGGACGAAGAGTCATGGCTCAGGTGGTCACAGTTGTGGCTGTCCAGAAATTTGTCAGAAAGTGTGGACTCAGAGGAAGGGGAGCTATTTTTTTTTTAATTGTGGTAAATTATACATAACATAAGATTTACTATTTTTAAGTGTATAGTTCTGTGGCATTAAGTACATTCACATTGTTGTGCATCTATGACCACCATCTACCTCCAGAACTTTTTATCGTTTCCAACTGAAACTCTGTACCCATTAAACAGTAACACCATTTTCTTCTCTCCCAGCCCCTGAAAACCACCCTTCTACTTTCTGTCTCTATAAATTTGACAACTCTGAGGACCTCATAGAATGGAATCATACAATATTTGTCCTTTTCTGTCTGGTTTATTTCACTTAGCATAATGTCCTCAAGGTTCACCTTGGTTATAGCATGGATCAGAATTTTCTTCCATTATAGGGCTGAATATTATTCCATTGTATATCTTATACTGCATTTTGTTTACCTATTCATCTAGCAAGCTGCAAGTGGGTCATTTCCACTTTTTGGCTGCTGTGAAAAATGCTGCTGTGAACATGGGTGTACACATTCTTTTCAAGACCCTGCTTTCAATTTTTTGGGGTACCTACCCAGAGGTGGAATTGGGGGATCATATGGTATTTCTATGTTTAATTTTTGGAGGAACCAATACACTGTTTTCTATAGTTGCTACACCACTTCACATTCCCGCTAGCGATGTGTAAGGGTTCCAATTTCTCCACATTCACATCAACACTTGTGTTTACTGGGGGTTTTTTGTTTGTTTGTTTTTGGTAATAGCCATTTAATGGATATGCAGAGGTACCTCAATACCATTTTGATTTGCATTTCCCTAATGATTAGTAATGTTGAGCATTGTTCATGTGCTTATTAGCTGTTTGTATATCTTCTTTAGAGAGATGTCTGTTCAAGGCTTTTGCCCATTTTTTAAATCCAGTTGGTTGTTTTTTGTTGTTGAGTTGTAGGAGTTCTTTATATGAGTATGTTCTGGATATTAATCCTTTATCAGATATATGATTTGCAAATATTTTCTCCCATTCTGTGGGCTGCTGTTTCACTCAGATGATAATGTCCTTTGATGCACAAAAGTATTTTATTTTGATGAAATCCAATGTATCTATTTTTTTCTTTTGTTGCCTGTGCTTTTGCTGTCATCCAAGAAATCATCGCCAAATCCAATGTCATGAAGCTCTTTCCCTATGTTTTCTTCCAAAAGTTTTATAGTTTTAGCTCTTACATTTAGGTCTTTGGTCTGTTTTGAGTTCATTTTTGTATACAGCATAAGAGAAGAATCCATTTGCATTCTTTTGCTTTGGAATATCTACTTTTTACAGCACCATTGGTTAAAAATAATCTCCATTTCCCATTGAAGAGTCTTGGCACCTTGTTGAAAATCATTTGACCATATATGTGAGAGTTTATTTCTCTTCTCTCTCTTCTGTTCCATTGGTCTGTATGTCTGTCTTTATGCCATTTCCACACTGTTTTGATTACTAGAGCTTTGTAGTAAGTTTTGAAATCTGGAAGTATGAGACCTTCAACTTTGTTCTCTTTTAAGTTTCTTTTGATTATTGGGGTCCCTTGAAATTCTTTATAAATTTTAGAATGGGTTTTTCTATTTCTGTGAAAAACATCATTGCAATTTTGATAGGGATTGCATTGGATGTATAGATAGCTTTGGGTAACACTGATATGTTAACAATATTAAGTCTTCTAACCCATGAACATAAGATGTCCTTCCATTTATTTGTGTCTTCTTTAGTTT